TACCTGTACAAATTTTACCACGATAAGATGTTTCCTTGCTCCCAAAATTGTGAGATTGCATCCCTTTAAAACAGACATATAGCACATTTCCGCAGCGGGCCATAACATACTTGGGGACATTTTTGTTTTCATACGACACAGATAATTCGCTCAGTAAATGCTCTTTATCCAATTTCTCGAGGGAATTTTTGCTGTATTCTGGGTTTTCACAGTCATATGCAACTTGGCAACACAATAATGCATGGTGGATGTGAATTGGGTCTAACAGGTTTGTCTTTAAAATCATAACTTCAAGGTCAGATTTTTGTTTAGGCTGCTCGTCGAGCGGCGCTTCCAGCGTGCCTTTAATCCCCCATATTTTACTGGTAATCAATTCTTTTATTTTTTTGCATGAATCTTCAAATGGATCTTGACCAAGAAGAGACTCGTCAAGCTTTTCATGTACGTATTGAAGAAATAAATCACAAGTGCTTCCTTCGATGTGCTTCGCCGCTTCCGCGTGTTTGGAAGGAAAGCTAGCGGTTACGGCTTGTAGGAAGGTTTTGGCATGACGCATAACTTTATCATGTCGTTCATTCTCCTCTCCCCAGACTAGCCCGCATTCGTTTTCTTTGATAAGTTTTAGTGGCCTCTTAAAACGTTCCATTGGCGCATCAAATATGCCATCGAATATATCCCGCACTGTTGCATCTATCTCTACACGGTCGAATGTACTCAATGTAGGATCCTCATCGTGGCTATCTTCGCTTCGATTCATATTGTATCGCTGGACGCTCACGAGTGCTATGACAAAATGCTCAGTCACAATATTCTATACAAAGGCGAATATAAATTTCAACATGGCCATCTTCCTCAATTTACTTTGTGTTCGTTTTACAGGTCGCCAATATAAATAATTAATTAGCGTCGCCACGTATACATATAAATCATTCCTTCCTGGAAGAACAGCTTCCTAGAATCGGCTTCTTATTGGACGGTTTATGATATAGAATCTACAATGAGTACGGTGTCAATTATCATTGTCAATTGTCATCAGCGGAATTTAATACCATACGGCATGCATATGTCAGCTTGACAATGATTAATTCAGTGTGAAAATATCGCCATGGTCATGGGGCAAAAGCTTTTTGATGGGGATTTGCACTCTATCCAGGGTGTATTAAACAAATGATAGTCTGACCTTAGCACATGTAATTGTGTTAGTTGTTCAGTTTAAACATTTACTTTCGTAGTATCAATAAAGACTTTTTAGCTGTGTAAAATGATACCTTTCCCGGCCCCCCCCCCCCTTTCCAGTAATTATTGGATCAGATATGACTATTTTTGCTCTCAATAATTGCAAGAAAGGTATCATTTTACATCCAAAGACCTGACCTTTAGTGATACGAAAGAAGGGGATGTGTAGGCTCATTACTTATAACGACGCGCAATAACATGCCATAATTGGATTACAGTTATTTATTCACCATGTATACGAAATCATAGATATTTTCGCAGACTACGAATCGTGCTAGCGCTCTACCCTGATGGAGACACTACACTGGAGACTGGAGTGTCGAAACGTTGGGTCTTGATTACAATTCGACTGGGCTTTGTATTAATTTATATAAACCAGAGTAGCGAGCGAAACTATGATTAATATACCTGGTTGCTGGGAACGAACGAACTTTAAATATTGAAATGTAATGTTCCAGGGGGTGAATGCCTCTCTTTAGGGCACTTGCTAAGAACATGGCCGCCAGACTTGCGCAGTAAAAATTCATTTTCATTTCGTGTTATGTACTCAGGTGAATATGATGCTTGTGATGTTACTCTGAGTGTATATCTATGGTATATCCACACCGGGCAAGCTTGAAAAATATGCCTGGCCACGGTGGGAATCGAACCTACGACCTTTGGAATACTAGCCCAATACTCTGCCAGTTGAGCTACGCGGTCAGGTCGGTTCGAGTATGTGATTCGAGTATGTGTTCGAGTATGTGGGATTACTAGATTGCATTGATATCGAAGGTTCTAGAATCAGTTCCGAAATATCACATACTCGAACCGACCTGACCGCGTATAGCTCAGTTGGCAGAGCATTGGGCTAATATTCCAAAGGTCGTAGGTTCGATTCCCAACGTGGCCAGGCCTTATTTGTCAAGCTTGCCCGGTGTGGATATACACTCAGGGTAAGATCACAAGCATCTTTCCATTTACATTATTATTATTATTGTTTTTATTAGGGTCCACTACAGTATATGTACAAAGTCTAATTATATAGTCAATTATTCGGAGACCCTAAATGGGCGAGGCGCAAACGGGACTCGAAGAACCATGCAAGGCACCTGCCCAAACTTAGTAAAAATTTACTGTTCTAATTAAAAATCTATACTGTTCTAGTAAACCTAGGAGGTGCATACGCCTCATAATTAATCGAGGGTTAGTAAATCCCCCAGTTGCTTTCCACAATGCATTGTATTCCTATTTAATGAACGAACGGCGGGAAATAACTGGTACAAATCGTAAAATGCACCCAGTCAAGGTTTACAAACTATATATGCTGTGTTATGTTTATATCATATATTATATAATGGTATTATTAAGTTAAACGTTTATTATTACATAATGTTAATAAACAGTTAGGATCGCCTGTGGCAAGGACAGTCCCGAGTCAAAGACCACCTGCAAGACACGTCTGCGTCGTAAATAGAGTTAACTAAGATTGAATATTTGTGCTTGAGATAACATCTAAAAGAACTAAGGTGGTCCTAAGCTGGAAACAGTGCAGTTGTGACGTAATCATCGTCGTTTGACCGTGACGTAACCTCTTACACGAGGGCCCACGCTGACACACCGGACGCGATTCGACAACGCGGCGCGATTTTTCGATTTTCACTGACCGACAACTTTGATCATGGTTTAAGTTTTCCAAATATTTAGAAGGCCATAACATTTTGAGTTATTTGGTATATGTATCTTTTAAAATTGGCTGTTTTATTAACTTTCATAGAATGAAATTAAAATCGCGCCGCGTTGTCGAATCGCGTCCGGTGCGTCTCGGGCCTTTGTAGAAGGTTAAGCGTCGTGTGGTTCTTGAACAATACTGGAATCAATTAGTTTCAAAACTCGTCGCATTTTCAATATCACAAGACGCAAGTAATTGTTTCTGGATCATTTACCATTTGGTGGTTTCCTCTGTCTTGTATGCCTGATATATATTTTGGATAATCTCTTGAACATTGAAAGCGGTAAGTTGACAGTAATTATTCTTATCTTTAATAATAGAAAACCGCTATACATTCAGTCTTTTTACAGACCTTTTCTCTGCTAGCATTCATGAGCGAAGCGACAAAAATATTTGCAATTCGCCACGTATATATATGTTGTTTTGAAATTGCCTATATTTTTAAAATTCAGTTTGGCTGGAAAATGAACTCAATTTGATGAACATATATATCACATACTCACATACTCGAACCGTATCATATATATCACATACTCACATACCCGAACATATCACATACTCACATACTCCATACATAATCACATACTCGAACCGACCAGCCTGCCTAGCTCAGTTGGCACAGCATTGGGCTAGTATTCCAAAGGTTGTAGGTTCGATTCCCACCGTGGATACGGGCGTATTTTTCAAGCTTGCCCGGTGTGGATATACACTCAGAGTAACATCACAAGCATAACATAAGTTAGAGTTATAAACCGAGAAGGAGGTTTATAACTGATATATTGCCCCCGAGGACGCGGCGCCGGTGTATATCGGTTATAAACCTCCTTCTCGGTTACTCTTCTAACGCTATATATATATATATATATATATATAGTACAATCTGCAGACATGCATATATATATATATATATATATATATATATATATATATATATATTAGAATATTTTAGAAGTATATAGTGCGGTTTATCGAGTTTATAATGCGGCATGGCCTTGTAGCAACCAATAACGTAAGAATACAACCACTCTACGATGAATATCTAAACTGTATTTGTTGGTCATTTTCAGGGAACACATCAAGCATTAGACAGTAAAATACGCGTCACAAATTTCAGTTATAGCAACAGTATAGCTTTTGTGACGCCAATTTCTTGATTACGAAAGCAAAAAAACCTAAAACAAAGACTCAAAAGACAAAACAACATTTAACTCGGATATTTTGCCGTGGACAGGCAGGTTTAGTTTAAAGACAATGAAACTATTTTGAATCTCAACATGGCTACTTGCCAACATGAGCTCCACCTTTGAATTTACTATTTGAGTAAATTCTTAAACACGTCCGAATTTATCATTATGATAAATTCGCGGCACATTTTGAATTTATCAATAGAGTTAATCATAAAACCACAATCATTGCACAAGGTTTCCCGTTATAAATGTAATGGCACTGAAAGGGA